AGCGTCTAAAAACTTATGCCATTTATCTGCTATATGGGGAGGTAAGGGTTCATCCCAACCTATCTTTAGTGACCATAATTCCTGAATAAAGATTTTGGCGACTATGATGATTGGTGATAGAAGTCCTAAAGGGTCGAAGATCCTGGCAATTGTCGAGAGGGCATTGCGTTTGGTAACTTCAGCGGTAGTTTCATAGTTAAACGTGAATTGAAACATATCGCTAGATGGTAGCCATTGCAACCCAAGAGTATGAATAATCGTATCATTGTCTAGCCCTATGGTTAAACAGGAGATCTGCTCGTCCTTGGGAATCGAGACAAGAATTTCCGAATGGTTAAAGGACCATTTTTTAAGTTTAAATCCGCCCGCCATGCACAGTTGATTTAATTGAGAGACCACTTCTTGCGCTTGTTCTATGCTATCTGCTCCGCCAAACAGATCGTCCACATACCGTCCTTTTTGTAGACTTGAAACCGCCATAGGGTACTTGGAACCTTCATCGTGTAACAACTGCTGGATGGTGCGTAACGCGAGAAAAGGGGCACAAGCTAGGCCATAAGTAACTGTCGTTAGTTGATATGCTTTTAAATTGTGTGATTCATCGCACCAAAGAATTCGTTGAAAGTTCCAATCGTCGGAATGAACACCTATCTGGCGGTACATTTTTTCCATATCTGAGGAAAATACATAATGAAATTGACGGAACCAAATAAGCACGTCGAACAAATCAATTTGCAGCTTAGCTCCCGTATGCAACAAGTCATTTAGGGAATACCCCGAGGACGAAGCGCTGGATCCGTTAAATACAACACGAAGCTTAGTGGTGAGGCTTTGCTCCCTCCTTACTCCGTGATGCGGCAAATAGTATACAAACGGAGGTTCCGGTAAATCAAGAGGGACCAACCTCATGTGATCCAGCTGTTCGTACTCGGTCAGGAACTCCGCATACTGCTTTGCGTAAGTAGAATCTAACGAAAATTTATGAGAAAGTCTCAACATAATCCGAGAGGCCCTTTGCCGAGAATTGCCGAGGTTATCAACTGACTTCTTGAAAGGTAATCTAACAATATACCTTCCATCTCGAGTGCGAGAATGGGTGGACAAGAAATGATCTTCGCATGCTTGATCGTCGACAGAAAGAATGGTGTTAGTTGTAGGTACTTCATCGATCTCCCAAAACTTGTGCACTAAACGGTAGAGGTCTTCATCAATGGATATGTGAAAACTAAAAGAACTATTAGGAGAGGTTCCGGAGTGAGTGGGACCTGAGATTATCCATCCTAGCTCAGTAAATTGAGCCATAGGAGACCCGATAGGTCCTTTCACGATTCCTTCTTGAAGAATCTGACAATAGACTTCGGCGCCGAGTAAGAGATCAATTTGACGAGACTGAAGATAGTTGGGATCTGCTACTTGTAAGTTTTTTAAATGTGACCAGGTGCCAGCCTTGAGAGAAGCAGGAGGTAACGAAGTAGTTAATCGTGGCAAAACATGAGCGGTTACAACACATTCGAACGATGATTCGAAATGAGGCTTTAATTGCAAAGAAACAATTCCTCGGGAATTGTTGCACTTTTTTCCACCGACTCCGATTAGGGAGATATTTGATTTGACTCGAGATAAATGTAATTGTTGTGCTAACCGTTCAGTAATTAATGATATCTCTGATCCTTGATCGATGAGAGCACGAGCTTGACAACTATGTCCGTTGGGAGAGAGAACAGAAACAAGAGCAGTTGCTAGCAAGACGGTATGCTTAT